GATGCATGCAAAAAGGAAAAAACATAAAAATAAAAAAGTTAGTAAAAATAGATTTATGATGAATAAAATTTCAAAATAGGAAAAGAAATTGGTTTCATTGTTTTGAAAACATTTGCCTTTTTACTTATCAAAGAAAATTCCTTTTTTTTTATATACATTTAGGCTTTCATCAGGTATCGTAGAAACCTCAAAACAATGGTGTCATCCTATTACAGATATCGAGATACTATTAAACTTCAACTATTCTACGATCCATGTATTTGTCCAAAATCAAGTAAAGGGTAATAAGTGTTTTTCATGTGTTCTAATTTTGTGTGCATTCTATGAATAAGGTTCTGCATGGCTCTACCTATAGGGTGGTTCTTTATGGTTTTCTATATGCTTGGCTGGGATTTTTACGTATCTAAAGATTCCCAAATTGCTCTTCACTATTACCCATACTAGTCTAGTAAGGTATCTTGATCTTAAACTATTATAAGATACAAATGGAAAATGTTTAATATGAATAAAAGTATTTTAGATGTATTCACCTTATAAGAGTATAAGTACTTTACTCCCTCCTAAAAAGGTTGGAGCTCACGTATAAAACTCATGCATATAAATGAATACGTAATTATGTGTGCCAAAGAGCAAACAAGCATTTGATACTCTTTACCAAGATTCCAATATCTTAAATGCCTCACAATTTATTAGACAACAGAGAAAATGCCATAATTAACATAAGTAATGAATGATATAAATAAATATGAATGTAGGCAACATTATTCTTCTTTTTTTTGCAAAATTTTTCATTTTTCAAAATTTTTGTTTTTGAAAAATAGAAATAAGGGAATTACTATTAAATATCAATTAAAATCATTAAATTGAAACTTAGGATAGCACATAATTTATTTTTGGCTCGACTTTAAAAAAATATCTCCAGTAAAGTGGTCAAGTTGTCACACCATACGGTTTAGGAATCTTGACCACCTCGTTAAAATTTAAAATTAAAACAATGAGTTGTCACAAATCTTTATTTGAGTAGATATATTGGTTACTTAAAAAATTATTTTTTTAATAAAAATTTTAAAATTAATTAAAACTTATTAAAAATATAATTTTTGGGTATGCAAAAATACATCTGAGTTAAAAATATATGGTTATACATAGAGAAGTATTAACACCCCACAGTACCGGTTAAAAAATAGTCTCAATTAATAACATATATTCGTTTAATATTGATAAAAAAAATGGCCTAAATTTTAAATTTTAAAAATAATGTCTTAAATCCCATTTATTATCATAAAACCTCTTTTTTTGCCATCCTTTTTAGAATCATTTTATTTAAAAATAAAATAAAAATTTTGTGTTCCGAATTTCTCAATATCTAGATAAAATTAGAAAAATGTTTTTGACTTAGTATTTTCATGATAATCCTTAAAACCAAAGATAATATTTTTTTCATAAAAATAATTATTAAGAATCCCTTAATATTTAGGTAGAGTCTTAAGAAATATTTTACTTAGGATATTATCTTATTTTGTTTTTAAAAAATAATTTCTTTTATAGTCATCTTTTACTACATATATATTTTTTAAGAATAGTAAAATGTATGTGATGTAACATGAAGCAAATTAATGATGCAAATAAACTAAAAGATAAAAATGACCAATTTAATTCATATTATAAATCTTAATTTATCACTTTATATTTTTTCATTGTTGTTTTTTTTTTAAATATTTAGTGATAAAATGAAAAATATTTTTGTGTTTTTAGAAGTAACATTTGTGCATTATCAACATTATAATATTTATAAATATGATAATATTAAATTTTTAAGTTCAATTCTCATCATATGAATTAATTTAATTTTATATTAAATTTATTTAATTATGTGTCGATTTATTTATTTGATTTAATTCAATGATTTTCTTATATAATACTTTCTTATACTATTAATTTCATAAAAAAATTAATAACCAAAGAATTTCCTAAAATTTTCATTGACATAGCAATTTTTTTTTGGAACTCTCGAAGGCTTGGCAACAAGAGTAGCTTTTTTGCTTTATAATAACCGGAAAAAGTCATATATAATCCTAACTAGAAATAATGAGAATGACTTTTTGGTTTTAATTTGAAATTCAAAACTAGCAATTAAAAATCCCCTCTCCCCATGACCCGAATACCATAATCACTTATTATGATTAGATTTAACAATTTAAAATATGACATGATTATATAATATGAATACAATAGAAAAATAGAATAAGAAAGTGATAGAATTTAAAATTATAATAATAACTATATATAAGTTTAACAAAATCAAAAAAATATATTTTATTTTTTTATACCGATAAGAAATATGACATAATTTTTGTGTAAAACACGAAACGAATACATAAATTTCTTTATATTACACTATATGAATAGATGAATCGTTAGGTTTACTTATGATAAACATGGTTAATCAAATTCTTTTTAATTATATTAAAAAAATGAAAAAAAAAGTATGTAAACATTAAGCAGCTAGCTATAAATTATTAGCCTAAAGCACGAATAGTTTATATTTTGAATTTTTTGTCTATGGAAATGCATTTTTTTAATAATAAATAATAAATCAATCAATCAATCTAGTAATGAAATAATTCAAAATTTAAAACTAGAGAAAATATTCACATGTATGCAAATGCATTTTCATTAATTAATTTCATTTCACATGTTCAAAAAGAATGATATTCGATATATAGCTAGATCAAGACACGAGAATATGGATGAAATATGGACATACTTCAATTAATTAACAAATAAGTGAAAATATGTTTATATTGCCGAAATCAATAAAAACTAAAAGAAAATATAATAAAAAAAGGCCAAAACCTTTGCTCCCTTTTCATAATTATGCTCCTTCCAACAATATTTTATCCCTTGGCTTTTGAGGAAAGTGATGGCCTTGGAGTAGTATGCTGTCTTCTTCCAAATTAGCCACCCAAAAATTCCCACTAATTAGATGAATAATAAAAAATTATAAAGATCTCAGTGGAATTTAAAAAATTATATGATGTAATAGTTGAATTACATAAGAGTATTTTTGCTATTTACATGTTTTGATTTGGTTTATATTTTTATTTTTCCTTTTTAAATGTCATGAATTCATCATCATTATTGCATGGTATCTTTTGGTATTATTGTTGGGGCTGCTTCTACAAATTTTGCCACAACTCATAACAAATAATCTACGCAAAGTATATTGCATGTAAATTTGTGGGATAATTAACTTCCAATTCAATTTGGTTCCATATAGGTCTTGATTTTTTTGAACACTTTACTGTTTATATGTATAGGATACTTTGATTTCCAAAATTAATATAAAAATTTGTCAAAACAAAATTTATTCATGTTTAACGTCCTATCACATGAGTTCATATAACATAATGTATAAATAACATCATTGAATTAATTATTAAATCATCACAATAAAAACGAGTGTGGAGAATCATCTATGACATGCAAGTAGACATAACTACATAATACTCATCCATACAAGCGGTTATAAGCAACTAATAAAGAACCAGCAAACCAAACTGAACACAAAAACCATGTTTCTTTAGAGTACATGAATTTTGCTAACAATGTCTTGGCCAAGTGATAAGAGGATTTATGAGACATGTAAATTCGAGTTCGAGTCCAAATAAAACAATACATGAAATTTATCTTAAAGGAATGGCTAAACATGACTTTATTCACAATATCAAACACGAAAATGCGATGAAATGTAAAGCAAATTAGTTCTTCATTGCAAAGCAAAATTGAAAAAATAGAGTTCCGATCAGTTGACGGTGCCATAAAACAGAAAGCTCAAACGATGATAAGTACAATCAAGTATCAACCACCTATCATTGAGGCAAAGAATCGATAAGAATTTAAACAAGAAACTTGATTAAGGAAGTCATAAATACATGGCAGTGACAGATTCAAGATTTTTGTTGGGATGTGTTCACTTATAATATATAAAATATTATTGATGCATTTATCAATGTTATCCATGAAAATGGTGTTTAAAAGAAAATTTTGAATGTTTATGGAAAATTTTCTTTTAAAATTTCTTATTTTCTAATTTTTAGGAGTGTCCAAAAAAAGATATTGAGGGTATCCAACAAAATTTTTCTTTAAATTTTTTAGATTTTCAATGTACACCCCACAATGCCAAGTAAATCCACCACTAGACATGGAAAAAAGCCATATTTACCTGTTTAGCTAACAAGTTTCTCCTGAAATTTTCACTTCATTGCGTAACATTATCCTTGTTTCTCCCAGAGTCATATATAGAGGTAATTGATCTTTCCAACGAGCCCAAGATATATCATTGCAGGTGGATTGATTATCAACTATTTCTTCCATTGTGGTGAAACCTTCTGTTGTATTATTCTGAACTTGTTGGGGTTCCTTCACAACAAATTACCCAAAAAAGTGACATAAAGTGATGGCCTTTGAGTACTATGTTGTCTTCTTCCAAATGAACCACCCAAAAATTCCCATTAATTAGATGAATTATAAAAAATCTTAAAGATAACAGCGGAATTTAAAAAATTATATAATGTAAAAGTTGAACTACATGTTTTGATTTGGTTTATATTTTTAGTTTTCCTTTTTAAATGTCTTGAATTCATTATCATTATTGCATGACATATATCTTTTGGTATTATTGTTGGGGCCGCTCCTACAAATTTTGCCATAACTTAAAACAAAAAATCTCGACAATATTATCTGTAAATTTGTGGTATAATTAACTTTCAATTCAATTTGGTTCATTATATTTTAAGATACTTGAATGGGCCTTGACACTTTTAAACACTTTAGTGTTCATATATATATATATATATATATAGGATACTTTGATTTTCAAAATTAATATAAAAAATTATCAAAATAAAATTATTCATATTTGATGATATTTGATGTCCTATCACGCGAGTTCATATAACGTAATGCATAAATAACTTATCATTGAATTAATTATTAAATCACCACAATAAAAACAAGCATAGAAAACTATCTATGACATGCAAGTAGACATAACTATGTATTACTCATCCATTCAAGCTGCTACAAGCAACTAATAAAGAACCAGCAAACTAAACTGAACACAAAAAAAACATGTTTCTTAAAGAGTAAATGAATTTTGCCACCAATCTCTTGGCCAAGTGATAAGAAGAGGATTTATGAGATATGCAAGCTTGAGTTCGAGTCCAAATATTAAAAAAAAAAAAAATACATGAAGTTTGTCTTAAATGAATGGCTAAATATGGCTTTATTTCACAATATCAAACAAGCAAATGCAATGCAACATAGAGTAAATTACTTCTTCACTGCAAAGTAAAGCTGAAAAAGCAGAGATCCAATCAGTTGACGGCACCATAAAACAGAAAGCTCAAATGATGATGAGCACAATCAAGTATCAATCACCTATCATTGAGGCAAAGAATCAATAAGAATTTAAACAAGAAGCTTGATTAAGGAAAATCATAAATACATGGACAATGGTGGATTCAAGATTTTTGTCAAAAAGTGTTCACTTATAATATATAAAATACTGTCGATGGGTTTATTAATTTTATCCATTAAAATCATGTTTAGAAGAAAATTTTGGATGTTCATGGAAAAGTTTCCTTTAAATTTTCTTATTTTTTTAATTTTTAGGAGTCTCCAAAAAAATTTTTATGGGTATCCAACACAATTTTTTTAAAAATTTTTTATTTTTCAATGGACACCCCACAATACCATGTAAATCCACCACAGTACATGGAAAAAATCCCTATTTACCTGCTTAGCTAACAAGTTTCTCCTGAATTTTTCACTTCCTTGTGTAACGTTATCCTTGTTTCTCCCACAGTCATATATTGTGGTACTTGATCTTCCCAAATGCTCCAAATTATATCATTGTAAGTGGTTTGATTATCAACTATTTCTTCCATTGTGGTGAAACCTTCTGTTGTATTATTCTGAACTTGTTGGGGTTCCTTCACAACAAAAGACAATTCTCATTAAGTTATGCTAGAAGTAATTAATTAATTAATTACGCATATGACTTGTGTATGTATATAAAAGAGTCATCCAATTCATAATAATATGTAGTTATATACCAACATAACTTTTGTTTCCATCATCGTTTCATCACTAGTATCAATATGATAAAGAACAACAAATTAATTAATTCAGCATAATAGTTAGAAAAAAATGTCGGTTAGGTACCTCTGTTATGGCAGGCACAGGATGTTTTGAATCCATGATGACACTTGTGGTCAGCTTGGGAGATTTGGTTATTTTAAACGACCACATAGAAGGGAATCGGAAATGACAACCAGTTGGAGCAAAACTCTTTAGGTCTGATAGCTCAAAAAGAGTCACTTCTCTTAATTGAGGGAGCACTATTCCCTTTTGATCGTCTTCAATGTCTAGTTCACCTTGATACCCAAAGACTTGCTCTAGTTTAGAAGGCCCTGTAATTTCGATGCTCACGAGGTTGGCGAAAGAAGGGGTGACACTAATAGGAAACAAGCTTTTCAAATTGCTGCACCCAGAAATCCGTATGTCTTGAAGACTAGGGAAGGATATAGTTTGGAGATGACCCTGTGATGATGATGCTATTGAAGTTTGGTCCATTTCAATGATTTCTTCCAGCTTCTCACAATACTCTATATTCAAAATTTTCAATTGCGGCAAATTTCGAGCAAGTAGAGAAGAGAAGAGAGATTTCAGCTCATTACAATTTGACACTTTTAAGTTTTTAAGACAAGGAAGGCTTGCAACTTGGATGGGACCCTGCAACTGATGTATACCCTCTAGATTTAAAATCTCTATCCTTAAGAGTAAGTGTCCATCTTGAATTTGAAAAATATTCTCCCAATTAATAGTGTCGCACAATTGTCTTTGCTCCAACTCAGAAATTCGTAATTCCTATATAAAGATATAAAATGTCATAATTTCATTAAAATTTGAATAAATTACAATGGTCAAAGAATAATGATTTCAAAAGTACACATCTATTATAATATATTATATTACAAGATACAAAATTATCAGAAGATGCGCTGATATATACGTTTATATGAATAATTTCTCTTTATGACATGTAGAATAAGTTTATATTATTATATATTTATCAAATAACATATTTAATAAATTATTTAAATTAATATTTTTGAATAATTATTTAAATTCAAATCAAACTCTAACAAAAGTTGAAAATTTTGCATAAGTTTTGCATTTAAATATATTAAATCTTAATTTATATATTTTTTTAATTTAATCATAATTCCAAATATATATATATATATATATATACACACGCTTAATAAATTTTTATTTGATGAAATCAGAATCTAAAATTGAAAATAAAGAGTTTATAAAGTGAGAGATCACCTTCTAGCCAAGCTTATTTTATTTATTGTTATTAGAATTAGAAATTGAAGAATACAAGCCTTTTTTTTTTACTTGACAGTTATGATTTATTGGCTTTGATGGGAATGGACAAAAGTTAGAAAGAAGAGTAACACATTACCGTGAACAAGTTCATTTTTGCCTTATTATCTCTTTTTCTTCTTATTTTTTTTTTTTGCAAAAATCAATATGTGATGGTGTTGGATTGTTTTTACTTTTGTATATTTTTTGCTTAAATGACATTGATTTTTTTATCAAATTTCAATAATGGAAAGAAAACATATGTACGTTTGGATTGATTTCAACTCGGTAATAGGTATGGTTCATTACTTTTTTTCATATTTTATTTTTTTTATTTCCTCCATTTGTTTGTTCCTTCAAACTATTTGTCTGGTCTTATTTCTATTATATGATATATACATTTGATTTGATTTATTCTTCAAAAAAATTTTGATTTATATATTTTTATATATTTAGTTAAGTTGGATATTTGTTTCGCATAAGTTCGAGAGATTTCAACTGTATATGTATTCTCAATTCGTATATTTGATTTTTTTTTTATTAACGTATCTTTGACTTATGTTTTAATAAAAGCAAATATATGTGTTGAAGTATGTAAAAAATAAAAACTAATAAAAAGCAAATGGCTATGAACAAATTAATAATTATATATGCTTTATTTTTCAATCAAATATATATATATATAAAAGAAATTATTATTATTTGATGTTTTATTTTTTGTTCGGGTTTATAAGATTTAATAGTTTATGAATATTCTATTAATAAAATGTCTTTTACAATTTAATAAATGATTTTTTTTATATCCATATTAACATTATCATAAAAATTATTAATTTTGACTATTAAGAGACTGACCCTTGCTTTTTTGATCAAAAAAATAAATAATTAGTAACAAATTTTTTGGTGTTTAGCAAATAAATAAAAAAAATTAATTTTTTGATAAAAAAGAAAGGATTTTTGAAATTTTGTAAAAAATTAAACTTAAAAAAACAATATGTGAATGCTATCATTTAATGATATCTTAAAATTTATGAATGTATGATTATATATAGTTGATTAATAAAAGTTTAAATATTCTTTTATTAAGGAAATATAAAAAATTAAAGTTAATTAAAAAATAAATTTAAATTATTGAAAATAATAACACGGTTAAAAAGCTAGTATATATGTAAAACAAATACCATTCTCAAATTTTATATAATGTACAAATTAAATATGTTTAATTGATTTTCAAATTCTATTTATTTTATAAGCAAGTGAAATGTTATCTAAATGTTCTCTATGAGTGCCATGTCATCAAAGTTTGCCTATATGTATGCATGCCAGCAGTTTGAATTCCCATCCAAATTGGATTTCATTAAATTAAAATAGTAGGATGGCTAAATTACACACAATAATATTGTAAGGGCTTAAGTGAAATTTTGATTATAATATGGTTAGAGAGCTTATTTTATTATTTTGCCATTACTTAACAAGGTTTTTCTTTTTTTTTTTTTAAATAACAAACAAGTTTAACTCAGACTTGAATGAGTTGAACATAAAATATTGTTAAAGATGAGAGTTCAACATAAGTCTTGAATGATTTATTTTAATTTTTCTAATATAAAACTTACATAAGAACCCCTTTTTGAAAAGAGGTTCAAAACATCGATTATTTTATGAGTATAGAAAAGATTTGGGCCAAAGGTAAAATCTCAAACCATAATGTAAGGAAAGGAGTACAAAATTACCTTTAGTTGAAGCCGTTTGTGGACTACTTGTTGAATAATGAACTTTGCAAATCGAGGACAAACCACTATGGTTAACTTCTCCAATGATGGTGGCAGAATGGCATTGTCAACTCCATTATTTTCTTTTGCCACGTTGAAGACATATTGTAGTCTTGGACAACCATGTATTTCAAGAGATGTCAATTTTGGCAAGGGCGGAGAATGGAGAAAGCCACTGTCTGATTTTATATTATCATCAATTTCCAACTCAGTGGCAATATGTTCCAGTTCATCGCAGTACTCTATCTTGAGTTGTTCTAGCATCACCAAGCTTTGAACAAGTGATTGTGAGAAGAGATATTTCAATTTATTGCAGCGACTAATTACTGCAACCTCGAGGCTTTGGAGGCAGACATGATGGCTTGGCCCTTTCCATATCCACTTCAGTTCTGGTAATGACTTTAGCTTCAAACTTGTTAAATTTGGCAGCAGTGGAACGGTTGAGACATGGCCTTGATCTGTTGTATCAATCAAGCATTCCAGCGCTTTATCATCTCTAAGTGTAAGAAAAGTTAATTCATTTAGTCCCTGTGGATCTACGCTTGGAATGAGATTTTTGTGATACATGATTCCATCCATGGTAAGTATTCTGACATTGCATAACAATTCCTTGAAATCCTGATAAATTCACAATAAAATGAAAAACAGCAGCAACATTAGAAACATATAATTAGATTTCTTTTATTAGGAAAGAGAAAGATTTGAGTTAAAAGAATGTTTTTATTCCTCGCTTTTCACTAAAAGTTTGGTACTGTAAAAATTTAAATAATTCAAACTAAGCTGAATATAACTACTGCTTAAAAAGCATAGATAATGACAAATAATGCAGGTACGATACGACATGGATATGACAAATAAACAATTTTAAAAATAAAAAACACGGGTATGGTAAAACATGACAATAAAATACATTTTTATATATTTTTTATCCATAAATTTTTTATACGAATATAAATTGAACACAATTATAAAATAATGAATGGTATATGTAAAACTAAAATAAAATAAATTTATAAACAAGATTAAAATTATATAGGAAAAAATAATCAATATAATTATAATTTTTTTAATTTAATTTTTAATACTAATAAATTATAAAATTTTAAACTTTTTAAATAGTTTCATTTTTCCTTTTTTTCTTTTCTTTTCTTTTTTTTTCCCTTCTTTTTCTTTTGCTTCCTACATTTTCTTCTTTTTCTTTTCTCTCTTTTTCATCCCGTTTCTTCTTTTTTTTTCTTTCATTTTCCCCTTTTTTCCTTCCCCAAATCATACGATTTATAAGCTTTATAAATTCAATAATAGTAGTTATTGAATAATATTTTATTATGTACATAATTAAAAAGAGAAAAAAATACAAAGATTTTATAAAGTGTGTTAATAGAGAGAAAAAAATATGTAGTGCTAGTTTTTCTCAACCTGCAAACCATGTAATAAGTATACATTTAATCAACCTTTTTTCTTTTAAACATCAACAGAAGCTAATTATATATAATACTATATAATACTTTTACATTTAAATGTGAATGTACTGAATTTTGACGTTTGTGTTATAAGATAAATAATTCAATTAATTATTACCAAAATAAACAAAATTAAAACAAAAATATAGTATAACAGAAGTACCTTTAAATTGGCCTGCAACGTCTTAAACTCAGTTAATTGGGGACAACTGCTAACTTCGAACTCCTTCAAAGATAATGACATGACAAAATTTTCTGGACAAAAACTACTCAACTTCTCTAAATATTTAAGCCTTAAAATTTGCAATCTCTGTAGCACAATGTCTTGTAGTGGACGCCCACCCTTGTCCTCTGTCATATTGAAGACCTGCTTTAGTTGAGAACAATAATTTATCTCAACAGATTCCAAATAAGGAAGTCCTTGAGCCAAAGTGATTGGGAAACACATATTTCAATCTTCCGCAATTTAATTATTCTTGAGAGTTCTCAACTTAGGCCAGCGGAGAGGATAGCCATCCATGTTTGAAACTATTTGATCCTCATTTTCTGCTTCATCGAAGATTAAATGTTCCAAAGAATCGCAATGGCTTATTTCGAGCACTCGCAGATGCTCCAAACTTTGAGCAAGGGGAGTCGAAAAGAGATATGCCAGTTTCGCACAACCATTTATCTCAACAGATACCAAATAAGGAAGTCCTTGAGCCAAAGTGATTGGAAACACATATTTCAATCTTCCGCAATTAATTATCTTGAGAGTTCTCAACTTAGGCCAGCGGAGAGGATAGGCCATTCATTGTTTTGAAACTATTTGATCCTCATTTTCTGCTTCATCGAAGATTAAATGTTCCAAAGAATCGCAATGGGCTTATTTCGGAGCGACTCCCAGATGCTCAAACTTCGAGCAAGGGAGTCGAAAAGAGATATCCAGTTGCTCACACCTCCATATTATCATAGTCTTAAGACTTTGGAGGTTAACAAGATGGGTGGGCCCTTTCCATATCCACTTCAATTCTGGTAATGACTTTAGCTCCAAAGAAGTTAAATTAGAGAGTGGTCGTACCTGACATGAATTTATTGATCGAAAATGCAAATAAATATGGACAAAACAGTATATACCAAAGCAATAATAGTAGTTATTGAATAATATTTTTTAACATAAAGAATAAAAAAAGAGAAAAAAATACAAAGATTTTATAAAGTGTGTTGATAAAGAAAAAAAAAGGTTTATAGTATTAGCTTTCTTAACTTGCAAGCCATGTAATAAGTGTAGATTTAGTTTAGTTACTAATATAATTTAGTTAAAACTTTATTTCTTTTAAACTTCAACAGAGGTTAATTATATGATCAATATATAAAGTTTAGTAATTTTTCATTATTCATTAAAGGAGAAATGGAGAGAGAACAAGTACCTGAAGCTCACCCATTTCTTGGGGAAAATCAATGATTTGCTCTAATCCATAACAGTAACATATGGAGAGATTTTTTAGATGCAACAAACTTTGTGCAAGGCAAGGCGGGAAGATCGCTTTCAATTCACCACACCTCGAAATGTTTACAACCTTCAGACTTCGGAGGCTTGCATGATATTGATGGGTTGATTGTGATTTCCATATACTCTCCAATTCTGGTAAAGAAGATAGATCCAAACTTGTTAAATTTGAGAGTAGCGGCGTTTGACTAATTTCTTCCTTTCCAAGAAGCCCATCCATTTCAAATACCACTTTCAACCGCTTACAAGATCGAATGGTCAAATCTTTTAACTTTTGTAAGGACCTAATATGCCCATGTATTTCAAGAGATGTCAATTTTGGCCAGGGCGGATGATGGAGAAGGCCACCGTCTGATTCTACATTATTATCAATTTCCAACTCCGTGGCAATGTGTTCCAGTTCATCGCAGAGTTCTATCTTGAGTTTTTCTAGCATTACCAAGCTTTGAACAAGTGATGGTGAGAAGAGATGTTTCAAATTGTGATACATGAATCCATCCATGGTAAGTTCTTTGACATTGCATAACAATTCCTTGAAACCATATGATGGGACATCCTGATAAATTCACAATATAATGGAAACTATTAGCAGAATTAGAAACATATAATTGGATTTCTTTTATTAGAAAAAGAAAGATTTGAGTTAAAAGAATATTTTTATCTCTCGCTTTTCATTAAAAATTCATTATTATAGAAATTTTAACAATCCAAATTAAATTGAATATAACTACAACCTAGAAAGCATGAATAGTGACAAATAATATAGTTAAGACATGACATGGACACGGCAACATAACAATTATAAAAATAGAGAACACGGGTACGGTAAGACACTACAAGAAAATATATTTTTATATATTTTTTATCCATAAATTTTTTATTCGAATATAAATTGAATACAATTATAATGTAATTAATGGTGTGTGTAAAAGTAAAATAAAATAAATTTATAAACAAGATTAAAATTATGTAGGAAAAAATAATCAATATAATTAATTTTATTAATTTAATTTTTAATACTAATAGATTATAAAATTATAAACTTTTTAAATAATTTCATTTTCCCTTTTTTTCTTTTCTTTCCTTTTTTTTCCCTTCTTTTTCTTTCTCTTCCAACATTTTCTTTTTTTTTTCCTTTTCTTTCTCTTTCTCCTTCCTGTTTCCTTTACTTATTTTTTATTTTTCCCTTTTTACCCTTTATAAAATTGTACGATTTAAGATCTTTATAAATTCAATACTAGTTGTTATTGAATAATATTTTATTATATAAAGAATAAAAAAAGAGAAAAAAATGCAAAGATTTTATAAAGTGTGTTAATAGAGAGAAAAAAATATGTAGTGCTAGTTTTTCTCAACCTGCAAGCCATTTAATAAGTATACATTTAATCAACCTTTTTTCTTTTAAACATCAACAGAAGCTAATTATATATAATACTTTTACATTTAAATGTGAATGTACTGAATTTTGACGTTTGTGTTATAAGATAAATAATTCGATTAATTATTACCAAAATAAACAAAATTAAAACAAAAATATAGTATAACAGAAGTACCTTTAAATGGGCTTGCAACGTCGTGAACTCTGTTAATTGGGGACAATTGCAAACTTCGAACGCCTTCAAAGATAATGATATGACAAAATTTTCTAGACAAAAACTACTCAACTTCTCTAAATTTTTAAGCCTTAAAATTTGCAATCTCTGTAGCACAATGTCTTGTAGTGGACGCCCACCCTTGTCCTCTGTCATATTGAAGACCTGCTTTAGTTGAGAACAATCAGTTATCTCAACAGATTCCAAATAAGGAAGTCCTTGAGCCAAAGTGATTGGAAACACATATTTCAATCTTCCGCAATTAATTATCTTGAGAGTTCTCAACTTAGGCCAGCGGAGAGGATAGCCATTCATGTTTGAAACTATTTCATCCTCATTTTCTGCTTCATCGAAGATTAAATGTTCCAAAGAATCGCAATGGCTTACTACGAGTACTTCCAGATGCTCCAAACTTCGAGCAAGGGGAGTCGAAAAGAGATATGCCAGTTGCTTACACCCCCATATTATCATAGTCTTAAGACTTTGGAGGTTAACAAGATGGGTGGGCCCTTTCCATATCCACTTCAATTCTGGTAATGACTTTAGCTCCAAAGAAGTTAAATTAGAGAGTGGTCGTACCTGACATGAATTTATTGATCGAAAATGCAAATAAATATGGACAAAACAGTATATACCAAAGCAATAATAGTAGTTATTGAATAATATTTTTTAACATAAAGAATATAAAAAGAGAAAAAAATACAAAGATTTTATAAAGTGTGTTGATAAAGAGAGAAAAAGTATATAGTATTAGCTTTCTTAACTTGCAAGCCATGTAATAAGTGTAGATTTAGTTTAGTTACTAATATAATTTAGTTAAACTTTATTTCTTTTAAACTTCAACAGAGATTAATTATATGATCAATATATAAAGTTTAGTAATTTCTCATTATTCATTAAAGGAGAAATGGAAAGAGAACAAGTACCTGAAGCTCACCCATTTCTTGGGGAAAATCAATGATTTGCTCTAATCCATTACAGTCATATATGGAGAGTTCTTGTAGATGCAACAAACTTTGTGCAAGGCAAGGCGGGAAGATCGCTTTCAATTCATCACACCACGAAATGTTTACAACCTTCAGGACTTTCGCGAGGCTGGCATGATATTGATGGATTGATGTGATTTCCATTTACTCTCCCAATTCTGGTAAAGAAATAGATTCAAACTTTTAAATTTGAGAGTAGCGGCGTCCTGGACTAATTTCTTCCTTTTCGAAGAAGCCCATCCATTTCAAATACCACTTTCAACCCGCTTACAATCTGCAATGGTCAAATCTTTGAACTTTCTGTAAGAAACCTAATATGCCCATCTATTTCAAGAGGATGGTTCAAATTTTGGCAAGGGCGCGATGATGGAGAAGGCCACTGTCTGGTTCTTACGATATTATCAATTTCCAACTCAGTGGCAATGTGTTCCAGTTCATCGCAGCGTTCTATCTTCAGTGTTTCAGCATTACCAAGCTTGAACAAGGTGATGGGTGAGAAGAGATGCTTCAAATTGTGATACATGAATCCATCCATGGTAAGTTCTTTGACATTGCATAACAATTCCTTGAAACCATATGATGGGACATCCTGATAAATTCACAATATAATGGAAACTATTAGCAGAATTAGAAACATATAATTGGATTTCTTTTATTAGGAAAAAGAAAGATTTTAGTTAAAAGATATTTTTATCTCTCGCTTTTCATTAAAAATTCATTATTGTAGAAATTTTAACAATCCAAATTGAGTATAACTAGAACCTAGAAAGCATGCATAGTGACAAATAATATAGTTAAGACATGATATAAACACAGCAACACAACAATTATAAAAATAGAGTACATGGGTATGGTAAGACCCTACAATAAAATATATTTTTATATATTTTTTATCCATAAATTTATGAATATAAATTGAATATAATTACAGTGTAATTAATGGTGTGTGTAAAATTAAAATAAAACAAATTTATAAACAAGATTAAAATTATGTACGAAAAAAATCAATATAATTATAATTTTATTAATTTAATTTTTAATACTAATAGATTATAAAATTTTAAACTTTTTAAATAATTTCATTTTCCCTTTTCTTCTTTTCTTTTCTTTTTTCCCTTTTTTTTCTTTCTCTAACTACATTTTCTTTTTTTTTTTTCTCTTTCTCCCCCCTATTTCTTTTTTTTTTATTATTTTTATTTATCCCTTTTTACCCTTTATCAAATCGTACGATATAAGAGCTTTATAAATTCAATAATAGTTGTTATTGAATAATATTTTATTATATAAAGAAAAAAAAAAGAGAAAAAATAAAAAGATTTTGTAATGTGTGTTAATAAATAGAAAAAAAGATACAGTGTTAGTTTTCTCAACCTCCAAGCTATGTAATAAGTATACGTTGAATTAAACTTTTTTCTTTTAAACATCAACAAAAGCTAATTATATATAATACTATATAATACCTTTACACGTAGATGTGAATGTACTAAATTTTGACGTCATGTTATAAGATAAATAATTCAATTAATTATTACCAAAATAAACAAAAATATAGTATAATAGAAGTACCTTTAAATGGGCTTGCAACGTCTTAAACTCAGTTAATTGGGGACAATTGCAAACTTCGAACGCCTTCAAAGATAATGACATGACAAAATTTTCTGGACAAAAACTACTCAACTTCTCTAAATTTTTAAGCCTTAAAATTTGCAATCTCTGTAGCACAATGTCTTGTAGTGGACGCCCACCCTTGTCCTCTGTCATATTGAAGACCTGCTTTAGTTGAGAACAATCAGTTATCTCAACAGATTCCAAATAAGGAAGTCCTTGAGCCAAAGTGATTGGAAACACATATTTCAATCTTCCGCAATTAATTATCTTGAGAGTTCTCAACTTAGGCCAGCGGAGAGGATAGCCATCCATGTTTGAAACTATTTGATCCTCATTTTCTGCTTCATCGAAGATTACATGTTCCAAAGAATCGCAATGGCTTATTTCGAGCACTTCCAGATGCTCCAAACTTTGAGCAAGGGGAGTCGAAAAGAGATATGCCAGTTTCGCACAACCAGTTATCTCAACAGATACCAAATAAGGAAGTCCTTGAGCCAAAGTGATTGGAAACACATATTTCAATCTTCCGCAATTAATTATCTTGAGAGTTCTCAACTTAGGCCAGCGGAGAGGATAGCCATTCATGTTTGAAACTATTTGATCCTCCTTTTCTGCTTCATCGAAGATTACATGTTCCAAAGAATCGCAATAGCTTACTACGAGTACTTCCAGATGCTCCAAACTTCGAGCAAGGGGAGTCGAAAAGAGATATGCCAGTTGCTCACACCCCCATATTATCATAGTCTTAAGACTTTGGAGGTTAACAAGATGGGTGGGCCCTTTCCATATCCACTTCAATTCTGGTAATGACTTTAGCTCCAAAGAAGTTAAATTAAAGAGTGGTCGTACCTGACATGAATTTATTGATCGAAAATGCAAATAAATATGGACAAAACAGTATATACCAAAGCAATAATAGTAGTTATTGAATAATATTTTTTAACATAAAGAATAAAAAAAGAAAAAAAAATACAAAGATTTTATAAAGTGTGTTGATAAAGAGCAAAAAGACATATAGTGTTAGCTTTCTTAACTTGCAAGCCATGTAACAAGTGTAGATTTAATTTAATTACTAATATAATTTATTTAAACTTTATTTCTTTTAAACTTCAACAGAGGTTAATTATATGAGCAATATATAAAGTTTAGCAATTTCTCATTATCCATTAAAGGAAAAATGGAGAGAAAACAGATACCTCAAGCTCTCCCACTTCTTGGGGAAAATCAAAGACTTGTTCTAATCTATCGCACTCGAATATTTCAAGTTCTTGTAGATGCAACAAACTTTGAGCAAGGCAAGGCGGGAAGATCGCTTTCAATTCATCACACCACGAAATGTTTACAACCTTCAGACTTCGGAGGCTTGCATGATATTGATGGATTGATTGTGATTTCCATATACTCTCCAATTCTGGTAAAAAAGATAGATTCAAACTTGTTAAATTTGAGAGTAGCGGCATCTGACTAATTTCTTCCTTTTCAAGAAGCCCATCCATTTCAAATACCACTTTCAACCTCGTACAATGTTCAATGGTCACATCTTTTAACTTTTGTAAGAAGCTAATCGGAGGCGGACCATGGCACAACTCTTTCAACCAAGTCATTTTCCTCATTCTTAATTTCACCAAATCAGAGAATGCAGTTGGTCCCTTCTCTCCTGTTGTGTCCACCAAGCATTCCATATAATCGCACTTTTGAAGCCAAAGAGAAGTTAATTTACCTAGGCCCTTTGGATCTATGTTTGGGACAATATTTTTGTGTCCCATAACATCCTTTCAAAGCCAACTTTTTCCACATTTGCAAAGCAACTTCTCGAATGCACTTAATGAAGATGAGAATTTAGTAATTTCCAAGGTTCTAGAGTTAAGCTCCTGCATAAATCGAAGATCTTCATTTACAGCTATATTGTAGCTCTGTAGTTCAGGGAACACAAGGTTTTCTGGAAAACATTGAGCTGTAGAAACTCTCAGTGACAGCCCAGTCAAACGAGACAATGAATTCAACCCCGGTAAGTTAACATTGTTTTCACATGTCACGTGTAGCTCTTGGAGCGATGTCAACCTGTTTGTTACACACAAGTACAAAAAACTATTATCAAACACTTCAAGTGAATCATAAAAATAGAAGTAAACATAAATTAATTTTAATTATCTCAGCAAATATAGCATGATTCTTCAGCACCTTTTCTTATAAAAAACGTTTGAGCATTTTTTTACTGTTTTGTAATTCATGACAATCATGTTATATAGTAGCATTTTTTTTAATGGAAAGGACTACAGCTCTGAATGCTTCATAAGAATGGGAGTGACCGAAAGCTTCATAATAATGGGAGTGACCAAAAGCTCAAGGTAGATATGTTTCCTATAGTCTAAAAGCAAATTATTTAATAAAGTAAATAAAAGAAAAATAAATAGATAAAACTAAATACTTAATGTTTGGCAATATGATAAAAAAAATAATTGACATTTACTATTACCTTGATAGTAAATTAGGGGGAAAATTGATCTGTTCGTTTCCAGAGGAAAAAAAATGTAGCGATTTTAGGCCACGCAATGCCGCTAATTCTTCAGGTAGCTCATAAATATTAGTATCACAGAATGCAAGAATCTCAAGGTTTTTCAAATTTCCCAACGGTGTGATGTTCTCCAACTCACAATTTACAAGACACAGAGTTCGAAGATTTGTTACGACTTCAAGTACTTCTAGTGAGAGAATGACATCTTGGAGATGCAAAACTCGGAGGGCTTTCATTCCTTCAACAAATGCAATCGGAACTTTCACTAAAGTCTTTCCTGCAAAAATCAAAATTTTGAGTTCTGGAAATTCTAATTTTTCAGGAAAAATATTTATGTTGCTGTTCCAAAAGGAGATTGCTGTATGAGATCCACAACTTTCTCTTAAGAGGCCATTCCATCAACCCCTCTTTTACCATGAATATATTTTTCCCTGTAGATGTAATCCAATGAGCAAAATCACGAACCACGTCATGCATTCTTACATATCTTTCATCATCATCATCATCATCATCATCATCATTTCCCAGTAACAAACCAGACTCTTGGAGTTTTCTTAGTGCTTCACGAATTTCTCTCCGCAAGTCTTCAATTAAGTTATATGAGAAAATAATCCATAACCAATTGCAAACATAACCAACTCCTCAATCTCAATATCCCAATCTTCTGGAAAAAGGGAACACAGCAAGAAACATGTTCGAATATTATCTCCCTTCAAATAATCATAACTCAGCTTAAGGCAGTTGTAGATACCTTGAGAAACCTCTTCATTGTCTAAATGTCTTGAGTCCTTGAGTCGCTTATTT